TCTAAATCTACTAGCTCTCCTAAATCATCTTAACCCATTCTCCGCTGAACTGGGCTTAATTAAATTGATATTTCCTAGTTTAGGCTACCATTTTAATTTTTAAAAAAATGTCCATTACATAGTTTGATTTTAAATTACAAATACTGGTATTTTTTACATATTTTTGAAATAGGAATACCCTATTTCTCCAAAATAAATTTTAAGAAAATGTATTTATCTTTTTAAATAATTATGTAGGAGTTTTGGCTCTTAATCGATAAAATCTCATTAACCATTTAAATGTATTAAAGCCCTTCCCGAACTTAAAACCCCCTTATTTTAAGTGGAAAAAATGTCCATTGCTAATTTTTTGCTGACTAATTAAGAAAACTTTGTGCAGCAAAGTGCTAAATTTTAATGCTAATCAATTTTAAATGCTTCTTACCTGTGATAAAAAAAAATCCTTGCTCCTAAACTTGAGAGAAAGACGATTTGTATCCTCATGTCACAATTAAGCCAAGAAATCAGCTAGCGACTGCCACTGTGTAAGATAAATTCATATGAAAGATGGACGAATTTAACACACGTTTGATCACATGATCAAATGTTTTTATGGAATGACTAAGAAATGTTGTGTAAATAAATATTTTTGAACTGTAAAGCTGAAACCTCAGAATGTTGTCAAATATAAATTATATAATTGAAGTTTAAAAATTCCAAAAAAAAGTATTGAACATGTTACCATTTGTAATTTTTTTTCCTGGAATTAAAGTTTGTTCTTTGTGTGTTCGTATTTTTTCTTTGGATTTATTTTCAATTTATGTTCATCTCTTAAATTTTCCAATTATGATGCACTGTTAGAAGTTTCTCTGAAAAAAAGGTTAAATAGCAATTTGCTTGTTATTTTGCTACATTTAACCATACATTTACATAACCATAAAATAGATGACATTCAAACTGCCAAAAAATAGTTTATTGGCTGTTTTCACCTAGTACGGTTAAGCAACCAGACGTTTATCAGCGCCAACTAGGCCTACAACCAATGAGAATAAAGTATTTGCTCTACGAAATCTAGAAGCTAAGCCATGTCATAAAAATTACGAAATCATATTTTTTTTTTCCATCATCGCATGCCTAACACGACAAAGAGGGCTTAATATTTTTATAGTAATAAATACGAATCGAACACCTTATGAAGCTACTTAGTTCCTGGAGACACAATTTAGAAAAATGTGTCATGACCAGCCGAATGTGAGTTCGAATCCCAGCGTTGAAACCACAATATTTCCTCCACGATAATAACACGTAGAGAAATGTTTTAAAATATTGGCAACGTATTCAGCAACTCTTTGTAGTGACATGAAATATCAAACGACGATTTTTAATAATCATAGTTGATATTACAATTTTATTCCAGATAATATAACGGCACCTTTCATAAAACTTTTATCTTCATTTAAGTTGCGATTGCTTGATAATTATAAAATATATATTGAAGAAATTGATAAAAGTATTACCAGTTTCAGTGAACCAGTTTTATCTTAAATATTCAGACAAGAAGTAAACATATATTCCTGTAATAAATCAGTAATTGATGGAAACCATCCAGATACAAATACTGTTAAAATTTTCATCTATATTTTATACCGATAATTATTGTGGCATTCTGGCGAAGAATTTATAAAATGTTTTCATTGTCATGAGTTTCTCTGGTTTTATCATGCAATAGATATCTTTAATTATCCTTAATAAAAATATTGACTTCCTTAAAAATAAAAGAATATATATAATTAAAGAAAAAATACAATAAAAAAGATGTAATTTTAAAAAAGTTGAAAAGAAGAAAATGAAGGGAAAGACCTAACAAAAAAAATTAGCAAAAATAGAAAAATAACTCCGAAACAGTAATCGAAAAACTTTAGTATTTTGTCGAGTCCCAAAGTTGACAACACAATATTTCTTCAATTCCTTTTTACACATGAAGGGTTTCCAGTGTCCTGCACTCCCTAATTTGTAATTCTGGACTATATGAATATGATATTCTCAATCACGCATAGATGGCAGCACCATAAAGCTGCTTAACACAAAAAATCTAGTATTCCCCACCTCTTACGATAGGGGAAGGGGAATAAAACCATATAAACTAATTAAACCACATTCACGGTTTATGTAACAAAATACAACTCAACCACAGCCTAACTTCAATGCCCATTACCTAACGAAAAACCTAGCTCCAACGTCCAGTTAAAAAAAATTTATGGTTTTGAAACCATACTATTTGTAAACGGTTTCAAAGTCGTTAAAGTAAGAAATGTTCTTTATCTTAAACTTCACGGTTAATAGGATGGACAATAAGCTGCCGGTTATTTTACTGTAATTTTTGAAAGAAAATTATGACAGTGTTTGATTTTAAAATATATGAGACAACTCCCAGGAACTCTTTTAGAAAATTTCGAAAAAAGGAAACCTTGACACGATNGTGTGTGTGTGTGTGTGTGTGTGTGTGTGTGTGTGTGTGTGTGTGTGTGTGTGTGTGTGTGTGTGTGTGTGTGTGTGTGTGTGTGTGTGTGTGTGTGTGTGTGTGTGTGTGTGTGTGTGTGTGTGTGTGTGTGTGTGTGTGTGTGTGTGTGTGTGTGTGTGTGTGTGTGTGTGTGTGTGTGTGTGTGTGTGTGTGTGTGTGTGTGTGTGTGTGTGTGTGTGTGTGTGTGTGTGTGTGTGTGTGTGTGTGTGTGTGTGTGTGTGTGTGTGTGTGTGTGTGTGTGTGTGTGTGTGTGTGTGTGTGTGTGTGTGTGTGTGTGTGTGTGTGTGTGTGTGTGTGTGTGTGTGTGTGTGTGTGTGTGTGTGTGTGTGTGTGTGTGTGTGTGTGTGTGTGTGTGTGTGTGTGTGTGTGTGTGTGTGTGTGTGTGTGTGTGTGTGTGTGTGTGTGTGTGTGTGTGTGTGTGTGTGTGTGTGTGTGTGTGTGTGTGTGTGTGTGTGTGTGTGTGTGTGTGTGTGTGTGTGTGTGTGTGTGTGTGTGTGTGTGTGTGTGTGTGTGTGTGTGTGTGTGTGTGTGTGTGTGTGTGCGTGCGTGCGTGCGTGCGTGCGTGCGTGCGTGCGTGCGTGCGTGTGCGTGTGCGTGTGCGTGTGCGTGTGTGTGTGTGTGTGTGTAAAAATACAAAACTATAGTATTTATTCTTAAGACTTTAAGAACTTTTGAATTATTTTATCAACTGTTTTATCACCTACATCATTTGATTCAGCATACAAAAACTACAAAAGAAATTATACTTCATCTGTACTGATAGGTATTTCAAACCCCCAAAAAAGGTACAATCAAAAATTATACTTTTTTTGCATTTTACTTGATAAACTCCTCATAACTTTTGAGCTATTAGCTCTATCGACTTGATCTTAGTGTCATTCGATTGAGCAAGAAAAAAACATTTAAAAAACAATATCTCACTTGGAAAAATAGTGAAATTTAATGACTCCCCCTTTTATACTCCCCCACTCCACTGTACAAATACAAAATACTCATGATAGCCACTGTAACTCACCTTCGGAGAGAAAGAAAACTGCAGGTATCCATCTTAGTTTCAAACCACGACCTTTAAAACAATTTCTAGCTTTCCTCTAATTATTTCAGCATTCAACTAATTTTGATTTAGTCTTTACCTGTGACCATGTTAGTCAGTTGTGATAGTAAGTGGGGGTTTTTTCTCTCAAAATAATGGATAGAAAATGTTCTTCTACCATTTTTTTTTTTTTAATCTTTTGGAGTTGCCTGAATATTTCATAAAATTTTTTGAGTGATAAGATTTGTTGGCGGAAATTTTGTTATTTAGAAAATCTATTATGACATTGAAAATAATGAATGATATTTTAGATTTGTGATAACACACGACATATTTTAGACAAATTATAAACCAATGAATAATTCAGGGAGATAATAATATACACTTATAATAAAGCGAAGATATTTTATCAGTTTAATAGAATTTTGATGGAAACGAAGGAGATTTGTTACAAGAAAAAATTTTTGAGAAGGATATTAACTAGATAAAGTAATTTTATGGAACCATCATATACTTGAAATAATTAAAAATCTAAGATTTTGAAATATATTTTTTGATGGCCTATTTTTCGATTGAACGAATTTTTTTTTTACAGAAGAGAATATATCCCCTTGCCAAAACAAATGAAAATAAGTTTTTATGCATGCTTTTTTTTAAATTTTAACATCGAAATAAAACTATTTAAGTGAAAAGAAATTTTGATTTTCCATATTTCTATCAACAAAAATCTATAACATTTTATTGATTTTAAAAAACTCTAATTCATGAAAATAATTATCAAAAAATTTTTTACGCATAATTTTAATAAAAAATAAATAAATAAAAATAAAAGGATTCCTTTTATAAAGTAAAACAGTTGTTATTATTCAATAATTTAATTAATATGCTGGAGTCATGTTGTTGTTGTTGTTACTTATTACACTTGGCCCAGAACAAGGCTAGACCAAGTCCAGAAGACCATTCACCGACAGAAAATTATATACCAAAGGGGGTGGTGGCCCTGGGTGGAATGAGTGAAGTACATCCGGAGTTTTATACTCCTGGTAGGGTCACCCAAGACGTGAAGACCATTCCACTATACCCAGCTAAAGCATAAAGGTAACGGACAAAGTCTTCTTAACTCGGGGGTCCACGGTTCTGGTAACAACAGAAGCTGCTCGCTTCTCCTTCACCATGAACCTATTCTGGAGATATTCTGGAGTTATTATTGAACCTATTCTGGATTAGATGAACCTATTCTGATCAATTGTTACATATTTATCTCACTCTGAATCCAATTACTAAGGTTACAAAACGTGTTCTAAATTATTTCCTACACGTCTCAAACTATTAAAGATGTTTCAAACAACTAAATGTTGTTTATTTTTGCGATTATAGTGAGGGCTTTTTTCTATTTCCAAAACCCTTATTAGGATACTTCAGAGGTTAAATATTATCTGTCTTTGAAAATAACATTAAACACACAAATTTTCGACAAAATTAGGATTTTTTTATTGTTTTTATATTGTATTTTTTATTATATTTTTGGCGTCTGGCATACATTTATGTAACAAGTAGCAGATAGAGGATTTCTTCTCAGTGTAGCTTCCTAAAAATATAAATAATGATATAAGTTCCAGCATTAGTGGGGGGGGGGAGTATTAAGTATCAAAAAAAATCCTAAGTATTTATTCTGAAATATTATACATAGAAGATAGAGTGTATTCTCTATCCCACATTTCTTTCACCATTTTCGAGTAGTAAACCCTTTCGTGACGGTAACGCGCTTATTGCTGAGGCCTGGAATCTCTTTTGTGAGCACCTGTGCCCAGGGCCGGAGGGTCTTTTGCTGCTAAGCCTAAATCCACAAAATTACCTAAATATGAACGGGTTCTTTAATAATGAACTTGAAGTAAATTAACAACATATATTACACATATTTTTTATTCATATGCTTTATTTACTCAAATTTTTTCGTTATTATATTTTTAAATAATTTTTTTCTGGATTTATTTACCATTTAAAGATTTCTGACATTATTGACTTTCACTTTTTCAATGTTTAAAAATACAATGAAATATGCAGGGTTGATTTGTCAAATTTGTATTTCAATAAAAGAAAGTAAAAAAAATTATTAATAAATAAATAAGAGGCTATTTGCAGTAGAACTTTTCTATTATTCCAATAATTTGAATCAGAGTTGTACCACGTGTTAATTTCAAAAAGCCGTCTTACAGCATATAATTTAAAAACATTCCTTTCGCTCTTGTTTATACACATAATCAAACACCATGTGCATATGAGTCATATGATTCTCGTTTCGAGTAGAATATCGAACCTAGAAGAATCTCAAATCCTATGGAGATGGTATGCTATTTGGTGCCTAAAGTTATTGTTCGTAAAACGTTTTAGAACACTATCACAAATACGTTATGACCGGGAGAAGAAACGCTTTGGTCCGCCGGTTTGTTGACCTGGAAGAGAAAGCATTTCCTGCTTGCACGTATAATGTACTTAATAATGAATGTACTTAAATAATAAATTTCCTTTAATAATGTACTAAGTAAATAAACAACAAATACTTCACATATTTTTATTCACATACTTTATTTACTTAAATTTTTCCTTAATTATATTTTTAAATAATTTTTTTCAGGATTTATTTACCATTTAAAGACTTTTGACATTATTGACTTTTACTTTTTCAATGTTTAAAAATACAATGAAACATGCAGGGTTGATTTGTCAAATTTGTATTTCAATAAAAGAAAGTAAAAAAAATAATAAATAAGTAAATAAGAGGCCATTTACAATAGAACTTTTCAATTATTCCAATAATTTGAATCAGAGTTGTACCACGTGTTAATTTTAAAAAGCCATCTTAAAGCATATAATTTGAAAACATTCCTTTCGCCCGTGTTTATACACATAATCAAACACCACGTGCATATGCGTCATATGATTCTCATATCGAGTAGAATATCGAATCTAGAAGAATCTCAAATCCTATGGAGATGCAATGCTAATTTGGTGCCTAAATTTATTGTTCGTGAAACGTTTTAGAACACTATCACAAATACGTTATGACCAGGAGAGGGAGCGCTTTGGTCCGCCGGTTTGTTGACCGGGAAGAGAAAGCATTTCCTGCTTGCACGTATAATGTACTTAATAATAAATGTACTTAAATAATAAATGTTCTTTGATAATGTACTAAGTAAATAAACAACAAATACTTCACATATTTTTATTCACATACTTTATTTACTTAAATTTTTTCTTAATTATATTTTTAAATAATTTTTTTCAGGATTTATTTACCATTTAAAGACTTTTGACATTATTGATTTTTACTTTTTCAATGTTTAAAAATACAATAAAATATACATTTGTCAAATTTGTATTTTAGTAAAAGAAAGCAAAAAAAATTCTATAAATAAATAAAAGGCTTTTTACTGTAGAACTTTTCAATTATCCCAATAACTTTACAATTTCCTGCTTGATAGTCGCGGCGAAAGGGTTAATTGTCCATACTAGAACGTTTTGAAACCAGTGGAATATTTTCGTTACATTTCAACAAACATGTTTCACATAAAAGAAATTAAATAAATGTTGTATGGCCTATTATACTTCAATCCTTTTATAAAACACCTTGTATAAGTGAAAGCTAGGCACAGAGAGCCTTTCCTTAAAAACACACTTATATACAATTTTTATACTTTTACTCATGAATAATGGCACATCATCAATATTTCCTCTCTATGAATAGCGTGATTATTTCGAAGGATTTGTTATTTTCAAACGCGCAGTAATACCTCCTGTAAACACTGGGAAAAAGGATTTGTCAAAATTGCACAAAAATGTGCCGAAGTACGTCCGAAACAAGTATAATCGAATTTGAAAACACCAATATACTAATTAGTGAGTATAGTGACACGCTTAAAAGTGAAACCGCTCTGAGAATTCATTTTCAATTTTAAATAAGCATGTCTGGAAGGTAGTAAAGTGTTGATTAACGACCTAAAGACATTCTTTTTTATTGAGATGAATTTCGAATGAAGGTAAGGGCAGTAACTTTTATCTGATTATATTTTCATTTAGAATATTTGATAGTTATTAACTAATAAAATTTGATATTCGTCACATTTGAGGATGATGTGTCATTTTTTTAAGCTATTCAATTTTGAGCACGTCACTATACTCAATAATGGGTTTACAAATTCGACTATATTTGTTTCGGAGCTATTTTGCTCAAATTTGAGAAACCATTACTTAAAATGAATATAATTGGTAACGATAAGCTTATAAATAATTTAAGACAATTATAATAAAGCTGTTTAAAATATTTTATCAGTTTTCATTTATGTAACTAATCTTTTTTTTTTCAATGTGAACTTAACATAATAAATTTTTTTCGCTTAGCTGAAAAGGAAGATATGTCGCGCTATATTGCTCATATTGTGCACACAGTTTACTTAATCAAAAGTGCGCTGTTTCTGCAGGTCAAAGCCCAGTTCAACAGCAAGTTTATATATGAAATCACTGCTTCAATATTAGTCATAAAATACATTTTTAAATGCGTTAAAATATTAAGTGATCTTATTTTCTCAACCTGTTTTTATTCAATTCATTTCACTTCCTTTGCATTCCATTTTCACTTTGTCTATTTAATTTCCACTTACCTTACAACTATATTTATCTAATTATATATCCACTTCATTCACTATTGCTTTCTGCATCAATATCAAATTTTGCACATTCCCTTCTTTTTGGAAAAAAGTGGTCTCTTTTGCAACCCTAACTTGTTTCAAGTGTTTTCTTTCCTGCTTGCTGCGTCCACTATTATACCTTGTACTAGTCTGAAATTTAACAAAATAAATTTAATTCGAAGTGCAAAAAAATAGAAGCAGTTATTTCAAATTTTCTCTTTCCGAATTTATTATTGTTACAAATACTAAATTAATTATATTCTAAAAAAATACAATTTATAATTTAGCATCTCCTAGACAAAAGTTTGCATAGCAGAGACAGAATTTTGTGCTTCAGTTACAAAAAAAAGAAGAAATTATGCTACTGGTCATTGGCTTGTTGCATTTTAACAGTAGCCACGTTTCAAAACATTAAGCCATTTTTTTCCGAAATTGAGGACATCAACGAAATTGTTAATAATTATAATAGGAGGCACTTCTTCTGAAGCATTTTGCAAAATATGGTAAATATTACATGGTTCATTCCTAAAATGAAGAAATATTTTTATATAGAAGCACGAAATAACGTAATTTTCACAATAATTCAAAATATTAATAATCACATATTTATTAAAAAAAATAATTATAAAATGAACATAGGGAGCATTTTGTCAACAAAAAAGGTGGCGATCTGGTGGTGATTGGTAGACTATCTTTTAATCGCCATTCGTTATATTTAGTCGCCCTGCGGCTGGTGGTGCTTTTGCCCTATGATTGCGATTTGCCCTATGCGAGAGTGATATCCAATACCGCCCCATACCATAATACCCGGTGCAGGACCAGTGTGGAGGTGCATAATGCAACTGTTCAGCATCCTCTCTCCACAGTGTCCCCAGAGTCGAATGCGACCATCGTGGTGTTGCAGACAGAAGCGTGACTCGTCAGTAAAGACAATTTCATTCCATTCTGTAGTTCACATCCTTCTTTCATTGCACCATTGGCGTCAAGGGTAGACGAAGCAATGGACGTCTTGCGGACTGGCCACACTGCTGTAAACGGCATCGAATGGTACGCGCAGACACTAGATGATGCGTTACAGACTGATTGTGCTGTGCTATGGTTTGTGGTGTGACTGAGCGATCAGTCCCTGCCATGCGCACAATTCGTCTGTCATCACGTGAAGTGGTGCACTGAGGTGGATGCAATCGAACACGTCAGTCCGTCGTACACTCCTGCATCCCACGATCACATAGCCGCATTACAGTTGTTTGATTTCGTCCAACACGATTATTGATTTCCCTGAAAGATAATCCACAATCTCGATAGGTCACTATCCTTCCTCTGTCGAACTCGGATGCTTTATCAAAAGATTATCGCTGTTTCCTACTAGGCATAATTGATCGTTTTTTTTTTTAAAAAAAAAGACACAAAAACACAATTGCCGAATTTGAAATCGTCAAAATCTCCAAGCCTTAAATAGCGCTTTGGAGTGGCGCCACAGGAGCGCGTAATGTGCGTCTGCGCTGAAATTCTAATCATTTGCATATCACACCTCCGATAATGCATGTTGTAAATTTCGTGTTATTTGCATGCTTTGATCAGGGTGTTGCATTTACGGTGGTCAGCAATGTAATAAGATAATAAACTATGAAAATAAATCCTATTTATAAAATAAAAGTAAGAAATTTAGCATGTTTTCGATATATCCAAAAGGAGTAAAATAACTTTTGTGCTGATGTAAAAAAATGTCGAAATAACATAAAAAGCACAAATAAACAAATAATTTTGGTACTATAAGCAAATATTATTATTGCTGAAGCGCAGATTGAAGAAAAAATATAGAATTATGCAGGAAATTTAAAGCGAAATAAATATTGCGAAATAAGAACGAGAAACTGAAGTATGGCTGCATAAAATTGGCAGACATAAGTGAATTTCAAACGATGCTAAGAACTTTCAAATTTTATGTTAAGCACTGCTAAAAAAAAATAATTGTCCCATTATATTTTAAATTGTTCTTTATTTTGTTTGTTTATGTGGAATTTCGCCTTTTAAATTTTAAAGAAATGTCTCTAAAAATGTCTATATTAAAAATTTTAATTGCTTTGTTTCATTTTATAAAAGAATAATGTGTCTATTTCAACAAACTAATAGTTATGGTAAGTATTTTCCTCTATAAAGATGCTTCATTAACGTTATTACTTATTAATAAAGTATAAAATTATTAAAGAATTAAATTAATTACAATTTAAATACCTTTGTACTAATTTAGAAGCAAATATATTCATTTTTTCATTTTATGTACCTCACAATCTCATTGTTTTACTCTATCCAATTGATACAATTATTTTTCTTTAAAATATAGAGAATTATTTATTAAAATAAGATATTTACCATACAATATTCTAAATACTCATCGCGATCGCAACGAACTATAGGGGGCGTTGTTGTATGAGACGCATACCTGCGATTTCTACTGTTTGTCTACGATAGGTACTCTGTCCGCCACAAAGTCTGCGGCAGTCTGGTGCTATGGAAACAAGAAGAGAGCATTTTAGGGAGGGTGGCTTCGATGAAGAGGTCTCCTTTTCTTTCGCCTTCGATGATAGCTTGTATGGGGAGTATACCAGATTGGCTGACTCAGCCACCAGTAGGAGACTTATTTAATCTGATTCAAGAACTTTTTTAAGATTCGCATGAATATTTCTTTCTTACTTAAAATAATTCTCTCGATTCAATCAGTTGTTATTTTTTAAATACAAAGGAAAAAAAGTGAACAAATTCTGACATTAAGGGTAGTACAGGTTTTTTTAATATTACTTTTTAATTTTACGATATTTATTATGAATGTTCATTGATTGTTAGATGGTTTAATTTCTAAACTTGCACATTTTTTAAAGCAGTTAATTTCTTTTATTACTTGAATTTTCTGGAAAAAGTGAAGAGCTTAAACTTAATAACTCTGATTTTAAAAGGAGATAAAACTTTTGCTGAAAATAAAAATAGTTCACGTTATCTGTGCCGGAGAAATATTAAATATCTTTGTTTTGATTATTAATTTTTAAATATTTTATTTATTTATTTATTTATTT